CCTTTCACAATCAAATCAGTTTTATATAAACAGATATCTACTGCAAATAAATTCATATTAAAAAAATAACGAACACATATGTGTACATGCTTCACATTAAATGTAGATGATTACTAACCGAATCTCATTTAAAAATTAGAAATGTCCTTGGTTTTTCATTTCTTTCAGCTTTGTCTATAAGATTTAAACAGCAGCTTACCTCTAAAACTCAGCCTCATTGTTTCACTGGAAAGAGCAGCAACCAGACTCCCTTATGAGCTGCAAATCCAGCCATGGTGGACACCACCTCAGGCTGAGTACTTTTGTCTTTCCACAACCATGGTATAATACCTCCTACCTCCTTCAAAGTGACTATTTGGGGGGTAAGTACATGAAAATAAAACTTTGGAGGGATATTGCAATCTACCACTCCCCCTTCACCTAGCATTGTCAGGTTAGTAAATGAATACACTGGACACCAGTTAAATTTAAATTTTAGATACAATGAAATAAAATATTGTGTGGAACATTCTAGAACTAAAATAATTATTTGTTGTTCATTTGAAATTCATTTTAACTGAGCATCCTTTATTTCATCTTGCAAACCTACTGCCATTCCCTTCAGTTAGTTTATGATTTCAAGAGGAGAGTGACCTTGAGAAAATAAAAGGGGAACAGATCATCAGGGAAGATGACAATACTGCATAGAAAGAACCTAAAATAAGATAAAAATATTTAAAGACTCTTTATTTCTTTTTTAGTAACCATAATCATGACGGACAAGAGTTTTCACTGAACTTTTAATGTGTCTGAAACTATTCACTTACTTTTTCATGTTTTCACAGATGTATCTACCTACCCGTTTATAGAAGTATAAAATACTTCTATGGTATTTTTCTAAGTACCTTATTATATGTGACTTTCTGCAGTGTTAACAAAGGTATAAGGATTGTTTTCTCTTTCTTCTGTGGAAAAGTTTGAATACTGATTTAAAATTTAAATGAACACCTGAGGATATAGTGAATGAAGATCTTTATATATTTTTGTTATTTGATACAAAAGAAAAGCTTTTTACCTGAAAGACATCCAGTGACTGACAGAAACAGAATAAGTTTCCAAGAGGAAGCCATCCTTGGTCACTAGGATCCCCCGTGTCCTGGTGTATTTAGCAGCTCTGATGTTTCTTCATTAACAAATGCCCTGTTGAGACAGATAACAGTTTTCAAAACAGAGAAGATAAACAAAAAAGGCACACAAACAGAAACTAAATAAAAAATCCCATAAGAAAATGATAAATAGCTTTTAGTGCAAAGGTCAGATTAACATACTGATGACAATAATAAAATTTCCAGAAGAATTAATTTAAAGCCCAACACAAAAACTTTGGAAAAGTGATCAACTTTCCCTATCACATTTATTTATTTTGAATACTCCCTGACAGATACTAAAAAACATCAGGTTCTAAAGGGGATGATTTTTCCTCACAGGGAATGCATAATAGCTATATTTATTATATTAGACAAATTATTAGATCAGAAAAACAGGCTAAAAGAACCAGTTACATTAATATATAGTCCTCTGGTCTAGAACATAACTAATGATCAGTTAAACAAGTGATTTTACACATGGTATCTGTACTCATCTAAACATCCACAGGGAATTTTTCTCATTTAATTATTAATGTCAATTGCCTTTGTTTATAACTCTTGTGATTTTCTGTGTGTTATACAGTTCCCTTGTTTGGTGAGTTATTTCTCTCAGTATCCTTTGCTAGCCAGAATCTAAGGGAAATAAGGATTTTCATAAATATTTAACATTTTTTATCTAATGCCATTTTTATAACAATAACCAGTACAGCACATTCATATCCTTTGATTCATTTATCTGTCCTGACAAATACAACAAACATAAAAAATATGAAATTCTAGCATGAAACGTACTATGCAAAAACTTGACAAATGTACATTAGAAATTCCTGTAGTAGACAAGTAACTTCTGGGTTTTCAGGCGTCAGTTTCTGGGGTCCTTCTTGGCCAAAAGCAGTTAAACTGAGAAATACCTGTGCAGTGTGTTGATAATTTTTAAATAACAATTGCTTCTTTGTAACTGGTTTATCTCCATCTTTAAGGGAAGATCTAAAAATGCAGATAAGCATTTTCCCCCTAGTTAGGTCATAACTCAATATATCTCAGTATCATAACTCAATATCCAGAGTGGAAAATCTCTTGTTAGTGAGTCTTCTACCTGAATGTTATTTCATTTTATTTATATTTTTAATTCTAAGCCTTGAAAATCTACTTTAATTACATGATCAGGAATCACTAATGGAGAAAAAAAGTTAACGAGGTAATAATGATTGATTCATCAACACCCCCTTCAGAAAAGATACTTTTCATCATCTGTTTTCTTTCAAATAAATATCAGAAATAAATACTATTTGAAGCACAAAAATTGACCTTATCACTAATTTTTACAGTTGCCAACTGAAATAAATGTTGAGTTACGTTTCATTTGGGGGACATTTCTGAGGACTCAAACCCCTTCGAGCCTGGGATGACAGCCTCTCTGATCGCTCTGAGGGACTGCTCCGAAGAGGCAGGGGAGGAGCCAGGATACACAGGAGTTTTACAACAAAGACCAGGTAGTTGGAACATTAAAAGATTACTTATTAACTAAAGAAAACCAGGCATCTCAAGTGAAAGAATTTAGCACTTTTCTATGTATGGGAAGGAGCAAACATTTGGGCTCATTGAATTCATTCCTTTGACAAGCACCCAGCTATCCAGGGCCAGTATCCTGTCCTTTCTTATTCTGAGTCCCCTCAGGGTGCTCCACTGTGAGTGGCTGCAGGATTGTCTTCACTGGGGGGTGGCGGCAGCCGCTGATGACTTGATTTTTTCAGCATTCTTTCTTTACTGATATGGTTTGCAGTATTTTTTGTTCACATAGTTTAAAACATTTTTATTATTTACACACTACTTTTTATGAGAAAGGAAAAGAAGAAAAATCAGCACGTCACACGTAACAATTAGAGACTTAAAATTTGCTAGAACAACACTTATGATTCATAAAATTGCATATTTAAAGTAGTGACTTCTCATTCCTTGATGAAACTGGTTTTTCTCAGATTCCGAGTTCTGAGACATTAATACAGTTTTGCTTAACTTGTTTTGATGAGCTTCTGCTCAGTCCATGCCCCGAAAACTGGTACGTTCTCTCTCTATTTACAATCACTTTTCCTGGCTTAAATCTCCTTCATCAACAAAGGCAGATGATTTCAGAGCATTTATATGCTGTACACTGGGAATGTCAAAGAGAAAACACACACCCGTGTGCACATGCTCACATGTACAGAAGTTAACCACTGGCTACGAGCCAAAAAAGCAAGACACTCTAAGTGTAGTGCAGCTATAGAGCTCAAAAGGGAAATACATCCGTAAGAATGGGAGGAGTTGAAAATAGTACAGAAGCATCTTTAGCAAAAATTCAAGAAGATACTGAGCTTAGACAAATACCTTACTTTTGGATGAGGCAGTGCAGAAAGACTAACAGTGAGCACACAAATAAATATGTCAACGTCAGAGAGTGATCCACACTGAAGGAACGAACACAGAGTGAAAGGGACAGTGAGTGACCAGAGAATAAAGGCTATTTTGCAGAGATTCATGGAAGATAATTTCTGAGAAGATGACATTTAGGCTCAGTATTCATGTTTTCAACATGCTGTTATGGAATAATCCTTATATTCCAGGCACAATTCTTTCAGTTTTCAAATAAAAATAGTACAGTAAACTTCATTACTAAAATAATCCATTTTATATTAAAATTTCTTCAAATAGAAAAAAGCCTGCATGTGTATGTGAGATTTTGTGTGTGTGTGCGTGTGCGTGTGTGTGTGTTCATTTTCAAATGTGAATGCTTGGGTCTTGGGGCATAAACACAAAAAGTAACAGTTCTTCCAAATCTGTTCTTTTTATGATACCTAACTACATTCTTTCTTTTTGCTTGCTTGTTTTCTTCTCATTCTCTCTCTCTCTCTTTCTCTCAAGTAAAAAGTAAATGAAATAATCTTTAGGTTCTGAAATATGTAAATTTTATACGCCTCTCTTGAAAACGTAAGTATTCCATGATTTTAATAAAATTCCTATATCAAAGTAATAAAATAACATAATTAATCAGATGTATATTACATTCCTACTACATGCCAAGTTAAATTATAATTAGCTAATAAATGTTATTAAAGCATATTAGGATGCATACTTTAGAAATACTTTAATGGAAACTGACAGTTGTACACTAAACTGTTATTCATCAAGAGACTGAAAAGTCATAAATATTAAGTTGCATACTAAACATCGGATATCTTAAAACTCACGTTTTTAAAAGAGCTTGTTTCAATGTGTAGGATATATACCTATTATCACCTGTGATATTCAAATAAAAATTATGAAATGACATCACATTACTTTGTATTTTTTCCTGAATTATTGCAAATATTTGTAAGTAAACTAAAATAAGTATATCATTATATTAGTATTAAGTCATAAATTATAAATAATAAATGCATTGTTCAGTTGATTGCATAGACAACTACTTAAAAACATCACACCTTAATTGGAGTCTGAAATAGGATTGCTAAACATATGTCACATACAATAAATCAAGTGATAGTATGCTGCCCCCTGAATACAAGTTGGCTTTTTTTCCCTAAAGCTGTATACAGGAAACAGCCTTGTTAATGATATGTGTATGTCAGTGTGCAGAGAAGGAGATTCTGAGAGAGAGAGAGATTTCTATTAATGCCTATCAATCTCTCCCTCCAGTTCTATAGCAATGGTTTCCTTCAGTTTGGCTTCTTACAGGCTAGTCACACAGCAGTCAGAATTATATTTTAAAACAAATCAGGCTACATCCTTTCCCTGTTTAAGAGGATTATCCTTAAAATAAATCCAAACTCCTTATATAGTGTTCAAGATCATATCTAATCTGGTCCTCGCCTTTCTGATTTCATCTCTCAGCACTGTAGACTCCACTTCCACCACACTGACCTTCTTGCTGTTTCCCAAATATACGTTGCACTCATTGTGTCCTTTGCCTAGACCCCTCTGCCATCAGTTCTTTCCAGACTCCATAGCTTTAAGTCATTGAACACACTGGTCCTCGGGCATTTATTGATCATTCTCCTTAAAACAGTCACCCCCTCTGCTTCCTGTCAGCCCTGTCACTGGTTTCCCTTACACTGTCCCTGCCTTACTTTTCTTCTTAGCAATTATCAGTGCTTGAGGTTATCCTATTTATTTATATATTTCTCATTTACCTTTTTCTCCTATTGGAATGTGGTATTAATGAAAGCAAGAATTGTTGTCTTATTCATCTTTGTAGAACCAGTGTCTAGAAGAGAACCTGCTTGGTTTTAATAGGTATTCCATTAATATTTGAATAATAATTATTGAACAAACTGGAGCCTCTAGTAAGTGAATTATTTGGCACAGGATAATGCAAGAAGAAAAAAATCATTATCCCTTAAATTTCCATAATACCAGCAACAGCTACCATTTATGAAATTCTACATGTGAGGCACTGTATCATGCACTTTACCTACAAAATCTCTGTTAATTAACTTGACATCTCTTATTGATGACGATACCTTGCCCAAGATCACACAGCTAGTAAAAGTCAGAACTGGGGTAAGTTTAAGGTTGACTTTTAAGCTATATCAGATAGAAGCTCTCTTATCTGACATAATTGGGGCTGGGACTGAGTTAGTAAAAAAAAAAAATCTTTTAAAAAGTCTATACACATACTTTATATTTAATTAATACGATTCAACTTTATATTCTTTGGCCTATCTTATGCAGGAATAAAACTTTTTTCTGATTATCAATATTCTGGTAAAAATTCTCAACAACATATGAATCTTTTTCAACATAAGTCCTGTCTGTAATGCATCATATACAATTTTTAATTTCCTTTAAAAGTGGTGTAAGAACATGTGAAGTTGTCTGATGACAGCATCCTTGAGGGCTTTTAAAATTATTTTTATACAGTTGTCTCATGGACACCTAATTTTACATGTCCTAAGTCACTCATTTTATAGTTTGTCCAAGACAATTAACTTTTGTTTTGTGTTTTACCTTTCTGTTTGTCAGAGTCAAATGCTTCCACTCTTGGTGCAATCATATGTCACTGATCTGCATAAT